AACTGATCCTTCTACCAGACAACATGCTTTCAGGCATTATCTCTGTTCACATCTCTCATTATCAACCAGGGGCGGCTTGGTCTCCCATGGGACACTTGGCAATGTTTGGATACATCTTGTCACAACTTCTACCTGATAGATAAAAGCCAGGGATACTGCTAAACACCCTACAAAGCAAAGGACAGGGACAGCTGCCCATAACAAATAATTATCTGGACCAAGACATCAATAGTGTGAAGGTTTAAAAAAAAAATAAAAAATCCTGCCTATGATTTCTTGGCTAAAATTATCAATTGTTGACTTCAGTAATTCAATGAACTGATTTGAGCATCTGCTTCCATTAGGGGGAAAATAAACCAACAACTAAAAACACTTCATGCCCAATACTTTCAAGTAAAGAGTTTATAAGCTTTCCACAAGAGTTCACACCAAATCAATAATCATTAATACTGACGATCAAGACCAGTACAGTGAAACAACAAATGAACATGCTGAAATGCTGCACAATTTTACAAACTGAATTTTAAAAGTAATTACACTGCTACCATGCATACTACTCCAATAAAAACACTCTGGTGTTCATTTAACTTAATAATTCTTCATTTTTCCCCTACACCATAGGATCATTAGTAAAGAAACACTTTGGCAACATAAAAATGACAGGCATTCACTGAAAATTACTGCACTGAAAAGAAACCTCATACAAAATAACTTTAAAGGTGATTGAAAAAACTCTCTAGCATTATCACCAGGTTTAATAATTTCATCAAAATGTCATAAAGGAATAATTCCCCTTCTTCAGAGAAAGTGGAATTACCGCACACAATTAGAATGGCGGAGGTAGCCCAGAGAGAAGAGAAAAGCAGGTCACTGTAATTACTCAGATGAGTAATGAACTCAGCATGTTTTTAAGATGAATGTATTTCTGGGGTGAGCACTGCTTTCAACGGCCCTGTATCAACTAAATTCTGCTCAGAGAGAGCCCTATAGTCACATGCAACACTCCACCACTTGAAAACACTCGGTGTGGCACCCCAAGACCCTATACTGCTCGGCAACAGGTGCACACACCATCTATATTAGAAGGAACCTGTGGCACTGATAGTCCAGCTGTGCAGAAAAGGTGAGGGAAAGCAATTCGTACACTACTATTATACAGCTGTCCGCTGGGCTCATAAATCCCATTCCACCACGTTCCTTAATTATGTTACCGAAGACCCAGAGTCCTGGTATATAGAGACTAGAACATGTTGTGCCATTTCGCTCCATTCTCCTCTACTGCGCTTGTGGAACAAGGAGGGGTACTGCTTAAGAGAGGCTGAAGACTTACATTGCTGAGTGTCCTTGAAAAGTTCTGCCACATACAGAGATCTTTAGGGAGCAATGTTTGCATTCCTGAAGGAACAAGGTTAACAGAACCACCACTTTCACACAGAAATTCAGGTATCCTCTCAGAATGGACATTTGGGGCAGGGCTGGCCACGCCTCCGGACAGGCCTGCCCACTTTTTCGGTTGGTCATCCTCCAGAGGTCTTTTTCCTGTTCCTTTGACCCCCTCCCTTCGCCTGTCTTTTACCTTTAATGGGCTGGAGCAAGCATGAGGCAGGGAAGGGAGGGTTGTTGGCCCACACCAAGACATTCTTTGTTTTCTTTCAGTTCTTATTTATTCTTATTTTTATGTTATTGTATAAAATGAGCATTTCCTCCATTTGTGAAATGATTTGAAGTTTTGGTGGGTCCCTTGATGGTGCATTAAATCATCTGTATAGTAAAGATAAGGAGAGGAGACTGGGCAAATGTTTCAAGGTCAAAGTGACAGATGTCCCATAATCTTGTCCTGTTTTTCATCAACACATATTCCTGCCTTTTGGTCTCAATATGTAAAATTGGCCTCCCTTGCTGTAGATGCCTTAGCATAGCTCTTTTTCCAAATATCTCTCCATCTATTGCTGTAGAAAATGCTGCCATGCTCCGAGACTCCAAGATCAGGGACAGTAAAATACGTCCCTACAGGACACAGTGCCCTAAGACCAACACCACTGCTAAAGGAAAAAATACCTAAGAGCTGGGAAAGTACTACCAGAATTACCTTTATTCATGTAGGGTCTTTTGTTTGCCTCTGCCATTTCTGACCAGACACCAGTGCAGGCAGGCAGCAGGGATACCTGCGCCTTCGCCCAGCCAGCATTCTCAAACCTAAGCACCCTAAAAAAGACTGTTGCAACTGCTTAAAAACAGGCCCAAACCGCAAGATGTTTGGGGGAGAACACCCAACCAAGCACATCTTGAGTGTTCACTCCATTACAGAGGACACGCCTGTTCTGGTTCTCCTGGGCCAGGCAGCTGCTTCAGACCACCTCAGAGTGAGAAGCAGGGCAGGCAGGGGCGTGCGCACAGGCCACACACTCAGGTCCTCCACACTGAGGAACCTGGGAACATAGTCCCGACCCACGGCGTCAGGCTGCAGGCAGTCATACTGCAGCTCAGAAGTAGATGTCAGAAGACAGAGAACGTCTTTATAAGGATTTCCATGAGGAAAGGAACTGTGGCTTGCACTAAATCACTCCTGGGAAGTTCTCCACTGTGTCTGTATATAGTGGCTTCCAAGATGTTTCTATGAGGAGTCAAGTTTGGCTCTCAAACATTTCTGAAAATTCTTCACTATTTCACTAGATAATTTTATATTATATAGTTAATATTTCCCTCTACTTCAAAATGTATTAACACCTACATTTTTAGTTAATATTTTAAACCCTAGTCAATGGTGCACCACACTGCTGAGGAGGGAGGGGCCTGTGTCCCAGCACTGGGGCCTCTGGGAGCACACAGCACAACCCTGGGAGACTGGCTCCTAGACTGAGCTGCATCTGACCATCAGGGAACAAGGAAAATTCATTAGTAAACACAAGTTCTTCATCACAGTGGGCATTAAAAAGAGAAAAGGAGGCCCCTTTGCTTTTCATCTAAAACATGAAGCAAGTCACAAAAGACCTACAAAGAAGCAAATGACTAAACCAGCACAATCAGACCGGGATGCAGGGGACCAGATTCCCTTCGAGAGGCAGCCCAGGGACTGGCAGGTCAGTGGCTGAGTTCCAATTCTGCTGTATGGTGTGAAGAACACGCAGAAGCAGGGTCTATGTGGACAGCAACACACAAAGTTTGCATGTATGACCTTTTATTTGAAATGTATTTCACATCCCACTCATACTACCTTTACTTCACTCCCTGACTTCACTCCCTGTGTGAAGAGCACTGTGCCTGGCACCAAAATACAAAGATGAACAAGTTACATCCTCTGACCTCAAGAAACCCACCATCCTCCACAATCTTTCCCGTGATCCCTGACTAGATACAAATTTCCTGAGAACAGGGCTTCAAGTCTTATATTCCCAGGTTGCATATTCATTTATTTCACAAACATTTTAAGTATCTAACATCCTAAATATAATGCTAGGAATACAATGGTGAGAAATGCATGGCCTCTCTCCTCTGAAGGAGCTTACACAGTGGAAGGAACAAAAAACAAAGGCTGAGAGCTGAGTGTTGAGACAGGAGAGAGGCACAGAGCTATGAGCACACAGATGGAACCCCACACCCAATGCACCCGCTGAGGCTTGGATGGAAGGGTCTCCTAAAGAAACTGATATCCAACTGAGGCCTCAAGGATGAAGTTATCCACCAAGAAGACATCAAAAGTTTCCACACAGATACAGATGGAAGTTTGTGCAAGGGTCCAAAGTAAGAGAACTTGTGGAACCTATAGGAGCAAGAAGGGCTCAGACAGCATGAACTTGTTGCTGGAGAGGGGGGAAGTGGGGATCAGACCAAGAACAGAGCTCAGCATTACAGAGAAAGAATTTCATCCTGAGGGCAAGTATGTCGGTATTACACATGAGATGGGCAGTAAATATTTGCTTTGATGCATCAAATAATCTTTCAAAGCAGTCCTAATCCTCCCTAAGCCGAGTCAGTACGTCTGACATCAGCAAAGAACACAGAGGAGTCCCCAGCAGAAGGCAGCTCTGGGAAATACCTGGAACAGTGGAGTCCAATAAAAATGTGACGCGAGCCACACACGTAATCTTAACTTTTCTAGTAGCCATATTCTTAAAAAGTAAAATTAAGATTACTAACATATTTTGTTTAACAGAATATTTCCGAAATATTGTTTCAAATGTGGTATTAAAAATATTAAGATATTTTACTTTCTTTGTACAAAGTCTGTAAACGTCAGGTGCATTCTGTACTTACCTCACATCTCAATCAGGACTGGCCGCAGTTCAAGTGTTCCATGTGTGGCCAGTGGCTACCGTAGTGAACAGGGGAGATCCAGGATGGACTTTTCTGAAAGCATTTCTTAGAATGTGTAAGGTAATTGTTTGTGTTTGTTTTCTAATTTATAAAAATAATGCAAATCAGTTTTTCAATGGGAAAAAAACAAAAACAAAAACAGAAAAGCTCAGTTTGAAAAGTACCCAGAAGCCCATGTCAAAAGTACCAGCCACATTGGGGGGTGCTTTTCAGAACCTGTGCCACGTCCACAGTAGGTGCAGGGCAGGCTTTTTGGAGTAAGGTCTGTATCAACAGCTCTGAAACCTAGTGTATTAAACGAAGTTCTGAATTAAATGAAATAGATTAATTCTCTGCTTCCACAGTTTTATTACCTTTTGAGACTATACTTAAACAAGCGTGTCCTAGAATTCTGGAGTTTTACAGAGAACCACTGCCATCTTAGGGAAACGCTGCTCTCATATTACCTACAGCTCTCAGGCTGTCCTGCTCTGCCAACTTTTCTTTCCTGTCACTGGACTACCCTGTGTTCCCATTTTTTAAAAAAAAAAGGAGGTAGGGAGGAGGAAAGTGCCTAATATGTAACAAAAACTTCATTTCAAGAGCCTGGAGGGTTTGGCTACATCCACTGTCTTTGGCTTTATTATTTGGCAATTACCTTGGAGGCCATAGTGCCCCCTGAATGACTATTTCACTTCATTTCCCAGGCTTCTCTCTCCTTAGAAGTTAGAAAATGATGAATTCCACCACCTCTCAGCCTCCGGTGGAGTCCTGTTCCAGAAACCCTCTCATCACGCAGCAAATCATTCCTGTGCTGTACCTGCTGGTCTGTGTCGCAGGGGTTCTGCTCAATGGTGTGTCGGGCTGGATCTTCTGCTACGTGCCCAGCTCCAAGAGCTTCATCGTCTATCTCAAGAACATTGTCGTCGCCGACTTCCTGATGAGCCTGACATTTCCCTTCAAGATTCTCAGTGATGCAGGCCTGGGCCCCTGGCAGCTGGGCGTGTTCGTGTGCAGGGTGTCGGCAGTGCTCTTCTACATCAACATGTACGTTGGCATCACCTTCTTCGGGCTCATCAGCTTTGACAGATATTACAAAATTGTGAAGCCTCTCCTGACTTCTTTCATCCAGTCAGTGACTTACAGCAAACTCCTGGCAGTGGGGGTGTGGCTGCTGATGCTCCTCCTCGCTGTCCCCAACATCATCCTGACCAACCAGAGTGTTAAGGACATGACACATATAAAGTGCATGGAGCTTAAAAACGAACTGGGACTCAAGTGGCACAAAGCATCAAACTACATCTTCGTGGGCATCTTCTGGATCGTGCTCCTTCTGCTCATCGTTTTCTACACCGCCATCACGAGGAAAATCTTCAAGTCCCATCTGAGGTCCAGAAAGAACTCCATTTCCGTCAAGAGGAAATCGAGTCGCAACATATTCAGCATCATGTTAGTGTTCTCTGTCTGCTTCGTGCCTTACCACATTGCCAGGATCTCCTACACACAGAGCCAAACAGGAGGCTCTTACAGCTGCCGGACCAAGGAAATCTTGCAGTATGTGAAAGAATTCACTCTGCTGCTGTCAGCGGCAAACGTGTGCTTAGACCCCATTATTTATTACTTCTTATGCCAGCCATTTAGAGAAACTTTGTGTAAGAAATTGCGCATCCCACTAAAAGCTCGGAATGACCCAGAAATGTCCAAAACCAGGAGGGGAAATACGATACATGAAAGCACAGACACGCTGTGATTTCTCGCCTTTCAAATGAGGTCCCTGGGTGTGGGTTGTAACCCTCAGTCAAGGAGTGAGAGGAAGGAATGTGAAATGACCGTGATAATGATTATCACCTCTGAGCATCGCTATCCAATTCAGTACAATTAATTAATTAAAATGTAAGTTTCCATGCTTTGGTGTAACATCAAAGAAAAAATAATACATATGTTTTTCAATCATATCAAAATAGAAGGTTTAAATTTATAAACACTAATCTGGTCAGTTAATGTAGCACTTTAAACAGGGGATAAGAAAAGACAGCCATCAAGACAATTCACAGGGGTGTCTTCCTTCTCTAAATGCAAGAATTAAGTTGGTAAGTTACGGAAATTTTTCAAGAGGATCGTTAAGACCAACTTAAAGGCAGACAGTTTGATAAAGGGCTAGAGGCCTGTTTGCAGTGAGGGAGTCAAGTTCTCTGATTTGAAGAAGAAAAAGCAGACACCCAGAAAATCACTTAAGAAATCCTCTACTGATCTCTCTCAAGGCATTTCAAAGGAAAGCAGATATAAATTATGTATTTTGCAATAAAAATTTAATTCTTTTCTCACAGCATTTTGAGGATGATATAAAATGCATTTTTAATACATCTTCTACAAAGACTGGTTAAGCCACTTCATGGGCCTGGAGTTCCAGCGTTAGAGTGTCCTTAAAATGGACTCTACTGAGGGAAGCTGGATATGGGCAGGTGCCGGCAACTTCCCCTATTCATGGCAAGGACAAAAAACAGGATGCCTGGGAGAAAGAAAGACACACACTCTCAGGCTGGCCACATACATTCTTCCCTGGGGCAGGGGAAGCAGTTCTCTTAGAAAGCAATTAGGTTTGATTAAAAAAAAAATCTAAAATGTATAATAATGAATGACAAGTTATACAGAAAATGAAAACTTACACATCACATTTTCTGAAAAATGAATTAATATGTGCAGAAATAAAATATGGTTGCTGGCTTATGAGTTATCAAAACAATTCTTTCTCTGCTATTAACTGGCTAGAAGACATTCAGCCCATCTTTCCAGTGTTCTTTTCAAACATTTTTGTAAGCCATGTTTTTATATATTTCATTCTTTACTGTATATGTATTAATAAAGAAACTATTTTTAATAGTCTCAATTTTTTAATGATTAATCAAGATATGAAAAAACATTATCAGATTTCCTCAGAGTCAAGACATGAAGTTGTTTAAACACACTAATTAGGACATTCAAATTTTATTTATGATTGACTTTTCAAAATAAGTACTGCATATGCTCCAGGACCTCATCAGACTTTAAGCAAAATTCAGAAAGCACACCTTAAATTGAGGAAGAGATAGGAAAGGTTTTATACTCTATGTCTACTTTTTACCCTTGTAAAAAGCTCCCTGCTCCCAACTCTGGGTCAAAAAACAAAATCACCAACCTACTTCAAGCATGCTAGGTGAAACTACACTTGCTGTACTTGTTTGGCTAAATATATCTTCATCATTTCCACTGGCCAGCACAAATTACTAAATGCTGGCATTTTAAATGCCCCTACTGGACATGGGCAAAAATGAAAGTAAAAAAGAGAAGATGAGGAACACAAGTAATGCCTTGTGGTCTAAAACAGATCAGCAATGTGAAAGGCAGGATTTCTCAAAAGCAACATGCAGTGCAGGTAAGGATACCATGAAGCAAGATATGAGGAAGAGTTACTACATTCATAACTTTCAGGTCCAGGGCTACAACACAAAGGAAGTGGTAGAGCACTGGCAGCAATGACTAACTCCAACTTCAGGAGGTCGCCAGCACTAGAGCAGGTAGGCAGCAGGAACTCCTCCCCAGGCCCCTCTGTAGACAGAGCTTTCCTGTATGTCTTCAGGTGTCAGGCTGCCCAGTGCGGCTTACACATCCAGGTGCCCGTGGTGGCAGGGAAGGCAATGTAAGCTTCGTTGTAAGAAAATGGAAAATAGGGAATGTTAATGATGATAGTGAGCTCCAGTCTCACCAAGAGAGGCCTATAGGCCCTTGTTTGCCCGTGTTTTGTGGTTTGATGTAAAACTACAAAATTTTAAAGTCCCGGGGCAGCAGTGAAAAGAAAACACATCTGTGGAGGGAACATGATACACAGACAGCTGCTCTGCATTATCTGGCATGCAGAAGACTAACAGAAAGGTACTCAGAAGTGGCTCTTGACTGAGACTAAAATGACCCTTTAACAGGAATCCTCACATTTTCTTTAACTAAACTGAGGTTCCCTGTTAATTCATAACTGATTCAGCCACCTACACAAAAATACTCTAAAATGTTTTTATAAAATCATTTGTGAAAAGAATCAAGAAACAAAGAAACCACAGTCATGAAACCCACCCACAGCAATGCCCACACTGTGCAACTGTCCTTCATAAAACCTCAACATCAGTAGCGCTCACTTGCTGGTTATCCCCTCAGCTTCCAACCTCTCTTTTCTCAGCAGTCAAAGCATGTTTTTTTCCTTTGGGAAATTCACCTTTCCCTGTTCTCAGCCATATGCTGTCCTGGAGCCCACCCTGTCCCCAACATCAGGGTGAGGCCATGATTGATGACTAGCATGTCCAACTCCACTGGTCCCAAGTTGAGAGGGAACGGGACCCAGTATGACCCAATGAAAACAAGTCCTAAATTCCTAAAGGAATTCTCTAGAAGGCTTGCCAGAAGTGCCTCTTCCATTTTGCCACCACAAAAGGAAAGCCTACAGCCATCTCTGAGCTGAAACTAACCCCATGCAAGGTGACTAGAGAAGTGGTACCAACCCAGCCCTGGTTCTAGTAACTGAGGCCCCTCATCAGCCCTCAACTAAAGCTCCATCCACAACTGTGGACATTCAGGTCTGTCAGCCAATAAATCTCTTCTACTGCATAAGCACTATTTTAACTGTATGTCTTTGTCACCTACAAATGAGAGTCTTGGTACATTGGCTTCAGCTAAAAAAGTGGTCCAGGAACTCTAGGAAACACCCTACGTTAAGCTGTGCTTCCATCTGACACAGCAACATATGTACCGTTGGTTCTGCAGTCTGTCCTTAAACCTCCTACATCCTTTACCTGACTCTGGAGAAAGAGGAAAAGTCAGTATCTTTATTAATACAGAAAATATCTGTAACACCAAGATAACATCATAAAAACTACACACAAAACAGATCATTCCCCAAAAAATAGCCCGGGCTATAGTTTTCCTTCCTCATACACCACTTTTAAAAATGCCTTAACCACTTCATAGCACTGTTCGTACTAAATGATTAAATATTCTACAACTTTATCACAGTAAATATACTTTTTAAACTTTATTTATAAACTAGCTACAGAAAAGAAACAAATTATTCAATGAAATCAGGTTTCCAGGTTGATAGGGACTAGGAAAAGTGACTGCCTCCATTCCCGTCTGCCCCACCTCCAGGAGAGGCTGCGGTAAAAGCCAGGAAGCAATGCTATAAAAACAGGCCCATCTCAACAACAACAAAATATATGAAAAGTTTTCACTAATAAAGCTTATGAGACTACTTCTCACCTTTGAAGGACCTCACTGTATAATTCTATGGCTCCTCTCATGGGCAAAGCTAAGATCTCCTCCCAACCCACTCACCCCACTTCCAAAAATATTATCTCCACTCAGCGCTCTGGGAACCCAAAACGCAGGACTCTTGGTCAGGGTCACCCTGTTGCCTCCCCCTCCCCGCCCCACCCACAGAATAAGCATGTCCGCGGAAGCCCAGAGCTACACTGGTTCCCCCTCCCTCCCATATCCCCATCACTGGTGAATTGCTAAGCCCCCAAAATGTGGAACAGAGCTTCCCATGGCTTACTTTCCTACCATTCCATCTCCAACATAAAAGGACACCAAAGGATGGCTCTTAGCATCTCGATACAACACTTCATATCACTTAAAACAATTTCTTTGTAAAAGATCTCCTACATGTAACTTGCAGCTTTTTTCAGGCTGCTAATTATTTATGTTCTCCAAGCCTGTAGCTCTCCAAAATAATGTCAGCAATCTGCATCTGACTGACTCAAACAAAATTTAATCCTCATTTTTTTATAAACTAACAGCCAATTTCAACCTCCTATCATAAAAAAAGTGTATTTTCTCACCTGTTTGATATTAAGAAAGTATTTAGGTGACTAAAAAGCTAGTTTGTGAAAGGAAAACCAGTGTTTCCATCAATGCTGTTCAAAATGAGAGCTCCTTAAACATTTACAAAGTTACATTCAGAGTGTCCTGGTGATGGTGAGCGCTGCAGAATAGTTAACTTCTAACTGGAAAGATCAAAAAGCAATCTGTGCTATATCAGATAGTGAGACTGCACGAGAGACACAGGAAGTCAACAACCCAGGTTCTCTCTTCCTCAGACTTCCCTTCCCAGGACTGAAACACTAGTCGGCTCCCCTCTCACCACAGACATTGATTTCACCTCTGAAATGGCTCCCAACCGCCTGTCTCTTCCCCTCTAATTTCAGATCCTCAATGCCTCTCACCTAAACTGACTGCAGTCATCCTCTAACTGGCGTCTTGCCTTCCACTTTCTCCCCTAACCCCACACTCTAACAGCACAGATCTACCTACCTGCTGAACTGACAGCTCCTCCCACATAACTTTCCTGAGCTCGCCCTGCTGACTTATTAAAGCATCCGAGGCTGACTAGGTTGATCCAAGATTTGGACTCATCCCTGTCCTCACTGATCCTGCTCAGATACTCTAAGTACCCAGATTGCCCAAGAGTCCCCAAACATACTGCGCACATCCCAATCAAGTGTCATGCCCCAAGCATGCCTAGTCCTCCCACTTCTCAGAAGCATCCCTTCACCCCACCTCAGGCACCTCCTGGATTCACTGGTTCTAACAGCCAGTAGTAAATTTGAATCATTGCAGGTTCCACATATTCCTGTCACCCCTTCTACACTGTAAGATTCTAAAAGTCACAAAAATATTCCCTAAGATGGGAGTTAAGGAGACAACCAACAGCCAATTATATTTGTTGTT